AACGCACAACACTGCATAACTGTTCTAATGAAATGCTCTCCATTACTGCCATGTTATCAGGTACACAGATATCAAGTCAACCTGTTAATTTATTTAAAAGTACTTTTTGATAAATTGTTATCATTATAACTTATCAATGATCCTGGCTCTGTCTGTTAGTTCCTCAGGTGTTTATGAGACCAAATGAAGCTAAGAAGGCAGCTGATGAAGCTAAGATGAAGTTTGCTCACATTGATGGAGACCACCTGACCTTACTAAATGTTTACCATGCATACAAACAAAGTGAGTTTGACTTGTAACATGTACTTACATTGATGCCAAGCTTTCTGATGTTGTTGTTTGTACACTGTTAAATTAAAAAGACCACCTACTAATCTTGTCCTCTTAGTCCTTTTTGTACATTATGGAACCTTGTTTTTTTTTTCTCCTTGGGAAACATTTCAATTTAACCTTCCACTACCAAGATCTCATTAAAAAATTCTCCAGACTCTCTGCCACACAATTCTTGTAATGTTAGTTTGGAGAATTTGGCATTGGATCAACTCATGATCCCTTGTTCATATTTTTCTCTATTCTCGTCGCTTGTCTGCTTGTTATTTTATTGAAGCAGGGCTCGAAATTGCGACCAATACAGTGGCATTTGCAACTTAATTTTTATGTTTGCGACTAAAATAAAAAGTAGTAGAATAAAAAGCCAGCAGTCACTACTTTGCCACTATTAAAGCCAAAATGGATAAAGAAATGAAAAATATACTGTCGTGTGCCTTGATTATCATAGAAATTTGAAGATTTAGGGTAAAATTGTACATAATTTATCCACAATGTTGTGCACACAACGCTATTACCTTGATTGGCCGCCATTGCGGCAGTCTCTAATTCATATGTATTGCAGGCTCATATTTTTGTCTGTTAAACCGCTGGATTTTTGCGACTAAAATTCGTGAACTTGCAACTATATTTACGTATCAAGTCACAAAATGGCGACTGAACTTTTCTTTTTTAATTTCGAGCGCTGTGAAGTTATAAGGAAAAATTCTGTTTTGGTCACTCGTGGGAGTGAAAGGATTAAACTTGTTTGTAGATAATCTGACAATTCAGGTTCATGAGTAACATTGCATTTACTGGTATAATGTACCGGTGCCTCTTTGTTTGAGTTCTAGTGCAGAAGTTGGAGCAGTTTTCTTTCTGCAGTCTCCAGGGATTTTGTGGTAGTTTTGGTCAAGTTTACCCATAATCTCTTCTTTTCCTTCCACTGATCTAATCAGGGTTTACAAGGACCAAGAAAGGGGGCTCATTTTTGGTTGTGAGATTTGCCAGCCTTGGGAAAGGTACTTTGCTATTTTGGGGGCTGGCTTGACACAATCAAAGCCCAAAGATGTCCCAGGCTATTTCAAACAAAACTTTTTTTATCCTTATTTTTAGACCATGATGACACACAGTGGTGTTATGATAATTTTATCCAACATCGTTCTCTCAAATCGGCTGATAATGTGAGACAGCAACTTACCAGAATCATGGACAGGTTCAACCTTGCACGACGTAGCACTGACTTTAACAGTCGTGATTATTATGTGAACATCAGGAAGGCACTGGTGACAGGATTTTTTATGCAGGTACCGTACAAATTTCCAGGCCTAAATTAGAATGGCTTCAACTTCAAAATTGGTTTTGAAATTTAATCAGCATTCACTTGTCCATAACAAAATCCTCTGCAAACTGCATTGAAAGTCCTTTTATAAGGTCTGTCTAAGTACATCATTACTTCAAAGGATTTTTTGTGGGGGAATCAGAAAAAATAGAATACAGGAAGAAAAAGAATACACGAAGAAAAAGTAAGGGCAAACAATGGTTAGAGAAATTCATGGAACTGTAGAAGCATTATGGCAATACGTGCTTATGTCTTTGCTTCCTTTGCCATCAACTTCTATTTTGAATGATGTACCCATATTTTCTAACCAGCCATTCTTAGAAATAGCATTTTTTTTTTGTTGTTAAAATAGAAACACTGTATTTCCTCCAATGAATGCCCACACTCTAAAAAGTACCCACCCCTTGAGCATAATGTCAGACAAGCACCTTTCTTGAATATACATCTCCCCCCTTTCCCCCCCCCCCCTCTTAAACAGTAGGGATGGAGGGGAAACCTGTTCCAATTTCCCCCTTTTTTTTTAATAACTTTTAAGCTTTGACTAAGTCAGAATCAGTCCAGGAGAGTATGCACCCTCCTTCAAATAAATGCCAAAATTTTAATCAAACACTCAGGAATTTTCAGTTTGAGGAAGTATGGTATGTTGGGTCAGTTATTTTTTTTGTTTAGTTTGCAAAAAAAAAAAAAACTCAGTCCTTACTGGCAATCAAACCAGCCTAACCTTCATAAGCAACTGAAATTGGTAAGCCTCTATCATATCACATCTATACTGGTCCAAAATTGTATCTAAAGTAAATTTAGGTTTAAAGACACCAGTTAGGGGAACATAGACCTTTTTTTACTTCAGTTCAGTTCCATGTGTTTGAAAATTACATCAGCAATTTGGAAAGTGTAAAAATTATGTTTGGCCACAAAGAGGCACTGTTTTGATACTGCCAACATGACTTTGTGTGCAAATATTTTTAATACAAAAATCTCCTACCAAATGAAGAGTGGTTTAAAAAATGGCATTTGTTCCCCAAACTGATGCAGTAATCTTATTTGAAGTACTTCAGATACTGACCATTAAATCTGTGAATCCTACCTACCCACCCATCCCTCCCACTTAACTGTTCTGATGAGTAGGTGGCTCATTTGGAGAGGTCTGGACACTACCT